GCTTAAAATACAGTAATAATGTGATCTAAAACATTACAGTAACAGAAACAAAACATAAAACAGAAATATTGAGAAGGACACTATAAGATGGCATAAAATAAAAACTTTCAGAAAGAGTTAAAACTACAGTTAAAAATGGATGTTCATCATTATCCAACTAAAAGATTAGAATATCCCTGTCTTTGAAGCCCATTTTGAAAACAAAGTCAAACTACACTTTCTGTAGATGATAATATACATGTGTAGCCACATCTAAGAAAGCCACATGTTTATATACACCCATTCCCCTGAAGAGATCTTAACTGGAAAAGAAAGGACTTAACTAGAACCTCTAATCTTAAGGCCCATCTAGGTTCATACAGGTGTTCCCTCAAGTAACTTCTCCTGAACTGTTTAAAGCTTTAAAGTAACAACCAATGCTTTAAATTAGGCCTGGAAACAGAGCAAGAATCAAAGTCAGTGTTATGCCCAGCTTAGCCCCACAAGCAACCTCATTCAGTACTAGCTGAAGCTTCTGAGCCATCTTTTAAGGCAGCCCTCTGCCGTCTGTATTGCAAGGGGGGCCATCTAGAAGATGTAACTAAAATGGCTACAGCAAGGTCTCCCCCTTTTAAATAAGGACACAGCTAGTGAATGAGACAAACCTGTTCAGAGGCATCCTCAGTGATCAACCGTTCTTGCCTTGTAACAACCAATACCAATTCCGGGAGTTTTTTTGTTTAGAGTTTCCACAGCCTCCCACAGAGGAGCAGGAAGGAAGGAAAAGATGTGTACCTCGCCCAAATCTTCACGACATATTCAGTTCCATCTCTTCACAGCCCAGAGTCTATCTGCTCTCTGAGGGATGGGGAGGGTTGTCAACTGCTGTCTTTGTGCTGTTGTTTTATTTGCCTGCTTGCCGCACCTCTCATGGTCTTTGCTGGGCATCTCCACCACCACCACCACACTTCTCTTCTGTTTGGACAGCCACACGATTTTTCAGCTGAAGAGAAGCAGGGGACTGAGATGAATGAAATGCGTTGGTGGATGGAGAAAAAGAAGATGGATGAGAAATGGGGTCCTTTGCATCTTGATGGAAGCAAGTGCCAGGAGCCATAGGGAGATTTGCAGATGTGACCATGGGGGTACGTGAGAAACAAGAGCATACAGACCTGTGGGTATGTCAGAGACAAGAAAGACAGGAAACAGCAGGGAGGACTGAAGCAGTGAGGTGTACGTGCAAAATCACAAAACAGGGCACATGGTTATGTGTGCATGTTATAGATGTGTGAATGGATGGGGTCTGTGGCTGCATCTGGAAGTGCACGTGAAAGAAAGAATGGGGTGATTCTTGGAGTAATAAAAGTGTTTGAATGGGTATTCCAGCGAGGGAGGGCAAAAGGGATTGGGGTGTAAGGAGAGTTGATTGGCAGAGAGGAAATGAATGGTTTGAGTTAATTATTTATTTGGGTAATGAATCTGGAAAAAACTTCCTCTGAGATAATTTTCTTGTCAGTTTGGGGAAATTAGCTTCCAAGGAATTTATTTGGAGGAAATTAGGTAACTTGCCTTCTGTGAAATGGGTTGTGTTGGAGGAGAAAATGGGTTCAAACAATATTTCTTGTGGGTGGGTTCTGCCACTCAAGACTCCAGCTCTTCTAGGTTCTGTGGCATGTAGCTTTTATAGAGCCTCACCACTTTGCTATTTGCAAAATGGTTGCCCTATTGCAATAATAAAGTTGTGATTTGCCATGCCACTGCTGCAGCCATTTTATCACTGGTTGCATCTGTCTGCCACCTACCCTATGACAGGCATTTTGCAGCTTTGGCCATAAAACATCCTAGACATTCAAATGTACCCATGGAGCAAAACCAAGGCTGAGGGATCTGTGCCGTCACCCAGATTTCTGAATGACTTTTCTTAGCAGTTTTTTCTCATGTTGTGACTGCCAGACAGTTGGGACTACAGTTCCAGAATTCTCCTCTTACTATTGGTCATGTTGGTTGAAGTTGATGGATATTAAACTCTAAACAACCTAGAGAGTAGGAAATGGAAGAAGGTTGGTATAAATGCCATAGAACCCTTTAGAGTCCAATATGTGAGCGCCCATGTATTAAAACAAACAAGCATGTGGTATGTGTGGAGGGCCTTGAAGACTTTCAAAAGGTGACAAAATTGCCTCCCTCTCCTAGAGCACAAGGAAATTTTCTGAGCCAACACTGAGATCTTGTGGAGTCTTTGCAGGCTGCTGGGAAGCCCAGGGGTGGTGTGTTTTCACTTTAGGGACCATGTATGTCCCTCACACTACAGTTCCCAACCCCCACCTCCTTGGACTAGAGTCACCATGCAATTCTGTCTAAAGAGAGAGACTCTTGAAGGATAGTACGATGTTGGCATTGAAGAGAGCTGAAAGGATTTGCAAAATTAATAGGGTTGCAGTTGCATCTATTCCTTGATATAATACATCAATGATGGTGACCAATGCAGTGGGTTTCAATTAGCTCACCTATTAACTTCTGAAAGTACAGTATAGTTATTCACATTTATGCCAGTATATCACTTCTCTGTACTTGTCTACTCATTGATAAAAAAGTGGTAATTTTGGAATTGGTTTAGTATCTATAATGACAATAGTTGTTCATGGAAAAACATCAAGAAATGAGCATGCATCTGTGAACCAGCTGTACAGTAATAAAATATGTGAATCAGCCTTGCCTCCTGAGTGGGAATGCTCATGTGTTCTTCTGAAGTATAAAAAAAACCCCTGCGCATATCTGCTAATCTCTGTATCAACTCCATGGTAACAATATTTCTAATTATCCCCTCACTGAATTCCTGACTTGTGTTTCCAGAAGACAAGAACTATGTGTTGGAATTCCACTGTGCCAGTAAGTAAAACCATTACTTTTGTTGCAAATATGAGAGTTAAGATATAACAAGGAGATTCCTCCCCACACTGTCATGATTGGATAGAAGCTCACAAGAGATGGAAGAGGCGAATCATGATTTGCATTTTTGTAGCCAAGGGTCTTCTTGGCTGTTGCATCTTTGAAGGAGTCTGTTTCACCCTAGTTTCCTTCTAATCAGCCCTTTTTAGGATGAGGCCAGGTAATCCTGTCACATCTCTGCATCAGATGTGAATGCAGCATGTAGTCTTGCCTGACAGAGTTACGGCAGATTTACTGGTATTGAGAAACCTACATACTGTGCTTCTGAATGAATTCTTACTTGGGGAAGCATTTTGTTTCCTTCACCTACATACCTCTTCCCTTAAGTCTCCCCCCTACTTCAAAGGTGCAGCATTGCTATTCAATAAACTTAAATCCATCAAATTAACTTCCATGCTCATAAGTTAATTGCTGGGAAACAATTTCTCTTTAGATAACAGATGTGGATGCAAATATACATCAAGGTGGAAACTGTCCAGATGTTTCCAGACAGCAGTGGGATAGAATGTTGTGGGTTGTAGTAGTAGCAATAGTAATAATAATGAAAACTGCAGAGATGGAAGGGACCCTTTGGATCATAGAGTCCAGCCCCTGTCAAGGAGGCACAGTGGGGAATTGGACTCCCAAACTCCGGCTCAGCAGCCAGAGAGCTATCTAAGCCACTGAACTATCCAGCAGTTCTTGTAGCCAAACATCTGAAGGTCCACAGCTTCTCCATCCTTGCCAAAGATCAACAATGGTGCTCATCTAATAATCCTTCTGGCAAAATCTATCTAACTTTCAGGGGAGGAGTGTCAAGGTATTGCATGCATTTTGGTGGAGGAACCAAAAGCATAAATCACTACCATAAGAAAACAAGTCTGACTGGGGGTTAGAATACATGCTGCAGCGACCTAATAGTCCCCCCCCATCTCCGCCATTCTGGAAGCTGATGCATCCTTTTTTTTTCTGAGTTGAAACTGGAAGGCCCCTTTATCCTGACATGGGAAACGCCTGATTTGTCTTCATCCTACCCTTTACCAGTCAGGAGAAGCGGTTCGCTGTACTCTTCAGCCCCCGAGGGGTGGGTGACCTGTGCGGCCCCGGAAGGGTCCCTTTTGGCCTAGCGGGAGGGCGGGCAGGCTTTTTGGGGACGCCAAGCCCGTTTCCCCAAGTGCTGGGTGGTTGCTGGGCGTCCCGCGAAGGCTCCGGGCCCAGCCGCCCGGGGTCCCCTCCGTGGCCGTGGTCCTGCCAGGCAAGACCATGTCGTGAAGCGAGAGCGGCTCGTCGCCGCGTCCCATAGCGAACGGTGCTGTTGACGGGAGGGCAGCATCGGCTTTTGCGCTCTAGCTCCGCGGATTTAACGCACCTTAGCGGCCCGTGAGGATTCCCACGACAGGGCGCAAGAGGGGAAAACAGGGCGTCCACAGTCAACCCATAATTTTGTTTTTAATCACCCGGAGTTCGGAGAACTACTGGAGGCGATCTTAAAAACCGACTCGGAATTTGCAAAGCTCGGCCGGCTGCATGAGGCAGTCCTTATAGGCTTTCTTTGTGACAACACTGTGTAATTGTTCTCGAATGGCCATTTTTTAATATTTCATATTGAACTTAGCACGAACCTTCCATTTGCAGTTTATGCAGACACTGATCTTACAAGAGAGGTACCTGAATGGGCTATCCACCATGTTTTAACAGTGTAGGCTGCTATTCTATAACATTAAACCTGAATTCCACAAAACAGTTCTTCCTAAGTAGACCAGTTTAGTACTGTGTGGAGTGCTTTTGAAGAATACACATGCACACATACACACACCTACACTGTTAAAATATGGTGGACAGTCATTCAAACACTTCTTTTGTAAGATCAATAGATGCAGAAACTGCAAATGGAAAGTTCATGCTATGTTCAATATGAAATATTAAAAAATGGCCATTTGAGAATGATTAGACACTGTTGTCACAAAGAAAGCCTATAAGGACTGCCTCATGACATGGTATATCTTTCAAAGGCACTCCAGTCCTTATGTTTTGTTCTAATTATCTATGGCTTAAATCCAGTAATGTAAAAGTTATGCTGCATTAGTCGGCTGGCGCCGAGCTTTGACATCGGACGAGCCTTTGCAAACGCGCACTTTGCAAACGTAGGATTGCGCCCGGGGAGCCGCCGTCTCCATTAGGATTTGCGGAGGAGCGGGGGGGGGGGGACGCCAGGATCGGAGAGATTTATTTAAAAGCTGCTGCTTCTTTTTAACCATTTCTCCCCTGACTCCCGCTCCTCTTTTCTTCCTCCGCACCCTCGGCGGGCACCCTTGACCCGTCATCGAGGGGGGCATTCGGTGGGAACCCCGGGGTGTTTTCTCCCGTCCTCCCCCCCCTCTGTTTTCCTCGCCTCCTCTCCTGCCCCCTCCCCGCCTCTCGGCTTATGCAAGGGTTGCGCGGCCGTCGTGGTGGGAGGACGGCGGACGGCGGGGGTTTCTCTTCGATTTGGAACTTTCCCTCTCAGTGACTGTAGGGTTGTGGGGTGCGTGGGTGTTTAACCCTTTTCTGTTTGCACACGATCGTCCCCGGGGGGGGGTTAGGTGGAGGGGGAGCGAGGCGACCCGCGGGGGAGTCTCTCTCGCTCGCGATTTTCCAAGACTCCCCTCCAACCGCCGTGGACAGCACCGAAAGCTGGGGGCGCCTCGGGCGATGTCCCACGTACGCATCTCGAATGGGAGCCCGACCCTGGAGCGGATGGAAGCCCGGCAGGCGGACTACCCGAAGCCCTCGGCTTGTCGGAACCTCTTCGGCCCCGTCGACCACGAAGAGCTAGCCCGGGAGCTGCAGAAGCACAGCCGCGACCTGGAAGAGGCCAGCCGGAGGAAGTGGAACTTCGACTTCCACCGCCACCAGCCCCTGGAAGGCCGGTACGAGTGGCAAGCCGTGGCCAAGGAGGCCCTGCCCGACTTCTACAGCAGACCCCCCAGGCTCGCCGCCGCCGCCAAAGCGGCCGGCCAGAAGCGGCGGCCCTCGGGGGTCCACGGCAGCTGCCCCTCGGCGGCGGGCTTCAGGCGCTCTCAGGGAATCTCGGGGGACGGCGAGGACGAGGCCGAGGCAGCCGAGCAGGACGGGCTGGGTCCCGTTCCAAAGGCGGAGGCGGCCGGAGCGCCGGCGGAGTTCGGCGGCCAGAACGCGGGGCCCAGGAAGCGACCCGCCTCGGATGGTAAGGGGCTTTCCTCCTCTGCGGTGCCCCCTTGAACCCCTCAGCGCCTTCCATCCCTCTTGGGTTGCTTTAGGGTCCGAGGGGGAGACCTTCCCGGGAGAGGCGAGCGGTGCGGAAAACAAGCGCGCGCCCCCCTCCGCGCCCGAGACCATAGGGACCTCTCTGCCTGGGCGTCCGATGGCCGTCCCCTCACCGACTGTGGCTAGCTCGCAAGGGGAGTGGGGAGAGGGGCCCCGACGTTTCCCTGTGGTCTTGAGCTGGTAAGCGGCTAGGCGGAGAGGTAGACGTCTTCTGTAGGTGGAGGCTTTATGCGGCCCTTGTAGCTGGCTGCCCCTCAACGCTCTAATCTTAAAAAAATCTCAGCCAGTGGTTATTTGAGCAAGTAACTCCCCCACCCCATTTCAATTTGAAACTGGAGGATTTTATTTGGAAGTACAGTAAATATATTAATTTAAAATATGTAATTATGTACCAATCACAGCAACCATAGATGGTATGCATTAGGGTGGCATCAGCTGGAGCCTTGGTGTTTCAGTTTCCTTCTTCTGGGTTGCTGTCATCTAAATAGTTGGGGTGCTGATGGTGCCCCATGAAATGTGGAAGTGCCATCACAAGAGGCTAAATTGGTCTGAAGACTTTAACCCAAAACTCTCAGGCTGTGTTGAAATCGACAATGCTGGCTTTCCAGTAATATGTGTTCTCGACCAGAGTGCTAATCTCGAGGGACCTGAAAACTGCAAGTTAAGCTTCTAATGTTTATTAGCTATGTTTATTCTGTTGAATCCCAGCTGAGGCCAGTGAAAATACTCTGGGATAGGTGGTTTGGAAGTTGCTGTCTTCCCCTTATGGGAATAGAAGTGAAGGATCCGGACCACAGGCTTGTCTGTTTGTTCGGTTCCTTAACCAAGTATGATTCTGTGCCTGATGTAACAAATAGCAATAATCAGCTTTGCTTCCCCTGCTTTTTCATGCAAATAGATGTTTAAAAAACTGCCTTCCCTGATGTTTCTCCCACTCTTTCTTTAACTGTTGTGTCCATATTTAGCACAATCCCAGCTGGCAAATTAATACACACACACACAAATTGAGTATTAAGTGTATTTTCTGCCCCCTGTTATTAACCCTCCCCCCAGATTCCTCTCCTCGAAACAAAAGAGCCAACACGACAGAAGAGGTGATTTCAGAAGGCTCTTCCAGTGCCAGCTCAGTGGAACAAACGCCCAAGAAATCCAGCCCAAGGCGGCGTCAAACGTAAATTGTTTATTAGGTGGGTTTCCTTTTCCTATTCACGTTTATTAAAATCTGTATAGGTGGCAGGAAAGGAAAGGAAGGATCTATTCTAAGAACATCTTGATAGCTGTTTAAAAGTGAGTTTGGTGGTAAACTTCAGTAATCAATCTGGTCAATGTAGCTCGGTTGCATGAGAGGATACCTTATGATCAGGACAGGGTCTGAAGCGTACCTGCAGCCTGATCCAAATTTACTCACAAGCAGACGCCACATATTTAAATGGGAGTCAGTATAATTTGAAAGTGCCACCAAAGCCAGGAAAACATATTGCTGATGAAGTCTGCACTCATAAGGCTGCATGTTGACTTGGGAACAAGCCCCACAGAATACTTATTTCTGTGTAATTGTGTACAGAATCAGGTTTTTGTAATTGTTGGGTGCTTCACTTGTATCAAATATACTTTTTTGGGTCAATGTTTTTTCTGTTCTTAACTGCAAGAAGCAGTTTCGGTTTAATATTAAGGACTATGTGGAGGAAAAGCCCCAAACAACTGTTTTTTCCCCTCCCCAACATTCCTCCCTAGCAAATATAAAGTCTAATTTAGTTTCTACACGTGGTTGACTTCTATCTGCAAAAAAATTACAGCCTGATGTGTTTTTTTCTCAGAAGCCCTATACAGCTCATGGTTGTGTTTTGAATTGCAACATTAGTAGTAACAACAAGCTATGAGAAGAGTAGCAACTCCTAATTAAGGACAGGAATTGGGGAAATATACCCTCTGGGCTTGAGATTTCCAGAGCAAGAGTGCTGCAGAAAAGTTGACAAACATGCTTGGCAAACCAGTACAAGAGATTAAATTAGGAACTACGTCGTTATGAGACGCTCATGCTCCCAGGGTGAACAGGGACACGTGTGCAAGTCCAACTACTACTGACTGTTTACTTGGGTACTGGGAAGGGAAATGACAGCCTTGCTTTGGACCAATTGCAGTGGGTCGGGGGAGGACAGGTCTGGCCATGATCTTGCATCTAGTGTTTCCCATATCCCCCTGAAAACTGTGTGGTGCACCCAGTTTTGCACCCATGATCTTGCATCCAGTGTTTCCCATATCCCCCAGAAAACTGTGTGGTGCACCCAGTTTTGCACTGTCTCTTTAAAACCCTCAATGTGTTCCACCTGTGGAGAGTCCTGCCAAATTTTAATCGGAGAGATGACTGGTGTCCTGAAGGGGGCCGGCGTTAAGGCTCAGGGGAATACAGCTTGGGCAGGACCCCGGTCCCACTTCAGACAGCCAGTGTAGTGTATGGATTAGAGACTTGGGAGATCCAGGTTCAAGTTCCCTCCATGCCATGAAACCCACCTGGTGACCTTAGGCCAGTCTCTGTCTTCTTTCTTAGCCTGATCTATATGGCAGGATGATTTTCATAATAAAAGGGGAGGAGGGGTTTCATGTATCTTGTCTTTTGCTCACTGGTAGGCTAGAAGTGTGAGTCTGAACAAAGGACATTTGGAGATGATTAATTCATAGGGTCACCATTAGCAGGAAACAAATTGTTGGCACATAACAAGAAATAGATACATGTGACAAGTAATAAATACGAAATAACGTCTTGCCTGCTGTCATCCCTTTCAACATGTGCACTGCGAGTCTCTTGGCAGCAGGGGACACGCTGCTTTTATTTCTGGCAGACTTGGAAAGTCTCAAGGACAGTAATGCTGATACATCAATAAATGAACAGAAACCTGAGTGCTTGTGGTCAGAATGAGGGCAGACTCCATCAATAGATGGGTGCTGCACAGCCAAATCTGGGGGCTTCTGAAAAACCAGAATCTGATAAAATATTGTTTACCTGACAAACTTGATTCTCTTTATTGGACTTGTAAAAACACATAAATAATTAAAAAGCACTGGCTGATAGGGTAAACTAATTACACCTTACATTGTGTGCCTACTTGCACACAATATTTATATCTAGCAGCCTCTGGCTGAGTTGTGTACAGCATTTGTGCCACCACACCCAGAGTTGAGTTGTGTTCTACCTTCAGCAAAAACAGTGGCCTGCTGGGTGTTTTTTAGCTGTGACTCCTTCTAGTCTAATAACGAAACCAGCATTTGCCCTTCTCCCCATCTTATGACTGCTCTCTCTTCCTTCGTTTCAGAATGAAGAACTTTTGTTTCCTTGTTCTTTTGGAGGCATCGGGTTCATGAAGCAAGGAAGATGCAGAGTTTATCTAGGAAAGAAAACAATGTTATCACTGATTCTCCATGGGATGGAGAACTTGTACAAGCACTGAAATAAAACAAATCTGTAATTGAATAACACTAAGATTAGGCACTCTTAAAAAGATCTGCCTCGTAAAGCATCGGATGTAGCATTCTGCAATTAGGTTTTTCCTCATTTGCTTCATTGTACTACCTGTGTATATAGTTTTTACATTATGTAGCACATAAATCTCTATCTCCTCCCCACCCCATTCTTTTGTTGGGGTGGAGATCATAAAGGGTGAGGGGTTTAAAAACTGCTTCCAAAAATCCAGCAGGCAGAGATCTGTATGAAGAGAAGCAGCATATATGTTTAATTATTTTTTTAAAGGATGTATTGCCCCTTTTAATTTTTTTTAAAAACATGTTAACACTGGCTGCAGCAGATTGATGGAATCTGTTGGTGAAATTTCTGCTCATTAAGGACACATTCCAGTGAGATGTTTTCTGCACTAAACCCCACTAAAATGAATGGGACCAGTGGAGGAGTAGATTCATTTTAATGGGGATTGTGCAGGAGAATAACTGATGGCATTGTGTCTTAAATTTTATGTAGGAGCTTTGTTTCTACTATGTAGCAGTATAAAGGGCTCCACTTCTGGAACCCTTTAAATGTCCTCTCCTAATATATATATATATTTTTGCCTTATATAATGTTAACTTTAAATGATTTCAAAAATAATTTAAAATTCATGTTTTGAATAGAATGGAGGGGAAATTAATAAACCCTGAACTTCAATCTCTCTTCATCTCACTCACTTCTCTGATGTTCATGGGTGGGTAAACAAAAAGGAATATGACATCTTTAAACAGTATTTTTTTTTACATTGCCTGTATGTTTTTTTAAAAAAAATTGAAATGTACCTGTGTACATAACTTTGTAAAGACACTGAGAAATTATACTAACTTATTTATGTTAAAAGATTTTTTTAAAAAAATCTAGAAGATATTTTCCCATAAAGCCAAAGTGGCGTCTGTGTTTGTGCATTTGTAAATGCTCTCTTTGGTAGGGTTTTTGTTTTTAGTTGTGTGTGTGTGTTTTTTGGAGGGGGGTGTTGTTTTGTTAATATGGCTGTGCTTAAATGATTGCAGACTGAGCCAATTTAATATTTTTTTGTAATGTGTGAAAACAGTTGCCAATTGATATTGTTCTACATCAAGCAATCAATAAAGAAAACTGCCATATATAAATATAAATATATATATATATCAAGTGACTTCGCTGTTGTGTGTTTTGCAGGTCATGGCACAAAAAGGAAGTGTAATCATTTCCTAGTTATGTACATCAGAAAGTTTCCTTCTCTCCCTCCTCCAAGACAAATAGCCACAGGGGTGGGTTGAAGGTGGGTTAAGCTCTACTTTGAGAAAAAACAGTGCAGTGAGAAGGAAAGCTACTTGCACACCACAATGTTCCCAGTTCAAGAAACACCACCCTTTGTTGTTGCTTTTTAAGTACCTTTCTAGTGTATGCAAGATTGTCACCATGAAGCAAAATGCAAAGTGCATTTTCTCAGATGGTCCTGCTAAAGCCACAATTGGGTATTTTTTCTAAATGTGTACAGTTCTGAAATGTGCACAGTACATGCACAGAGGTCTGTCCACCCCACAGGAAGCAACACGCAAAAGTACTGTTGTATAAGACTATACTTTTGTCTAAAATTTGAGGGTTGTCTTATACAGGGAAGTAAACTGAGGAGAATGCAAAACCAAGTGGAGGGGAAAGCAGGGATCTAATTGTTCCTGCGCAGCTTTGATCTCTGCTTTCCCCTCCACTTGCTAATCCTTAGCAAAAGGAAAGCTGGGATCAAGGCACTGCAGGATTGCTTTGATCGTTACTTTCCTCTCTGCTTGCTAAGTCCCATGGGGCTTAACAAAAGGAGGGGGGGAAAGAATCAAAGCAATCCTGTGGCTGTATAAGGCAGAAAGGGATCAAAACGATTATGCGGTTGTGGGATAGCTTTGATCCCTTTCCTCTCGCTAAGCCCCGCGGGGCTTAGCATGAAGGGAGAAAGGGATCAAAGTGATCATGCAGCGCTTTGATCCCTTTCCCCCTACACTTGCTAAGCCCCACTTAGATTTCTTAATCTTGGGTTAGAAAAGTGGGGGGCATCTTATACATGGAAAAATACAGTACTTCTCTAAACCTCGGCATATTTGAAGTAGAGTTGAAAGAATATTTTGCTGAATAACTTTGGGAGCCTGCTCATGATTGGGAACCCAAGCAGATTGGTGCTCTACAGTGTTCAACTGAAAAGTGTTTATTTAGACAGTCTCTTCAGACTTCTGCTCTGAAGAAACATCCCTACACATGGGGTGCTGGGAATGAGGCTTGTGAGGATGTCAGCTTTCCAAATGCAGTTTTACCCAACAAGCATATAGGTGAACATGCATAGGACATTTATGGGGGGCGGCACTCTGTAGGAATTATACTAGAGAGCCCTGAAGTGAAACTAAAACTTTAAATACGTTCTGCACAAAGATAGAGTACAGGGTGGGAATGATGTGGAAGTATGGAAGCATACTCACACTACCCCCCCACCCATCTTGATTATGGCTCAGGGTCTCTGATACAGGGACAAATGGAGCACCAGTCTGTATTGAGCTCTGTTCTGGTTCCTTCATATGTGGGGCTTTGCCAGCACTAGGATGGATTGCACCCTTTTCACTGGTGGTGTCAATGCACCTGTTTGTGGGTTAGGGCAGTAGAGCTACCAACATTAACTTATGGGTCCTGCTATGTATTTAAAAGCAGTAACATACGGGCAAAGCTTTGTCATCATTTTTATCTATGGTGAGAATTGATGTAGCAGATCTTGGCCATTATAAAAGAGTTCTGACTGCGGAGCCAGAGGTTGGGAGTTTGATTCCCCACTGTGCCTCCTGTGAGTACAGCCAGTCTGGGTTGCCTTGGGCAAGCAGTCCTAGGGTGCCCCCAGAAGAAGTAAATGGTAAACCACATCTGTCTATTCTCTACCTGGAAAACTCTGAAAAGGGTTGCCATAAGTCAGAATTGATGACAGCACATGATTATTATCAAAAGCAAAATAGGCCTGATACATTTCCTAGGAAATTGTTTTGTGTGAGTTTCATTGGGAAGAGTGCAATAACAGCTTGAGTCTGTAAAAGTTACTGTTTCGGATTACATCTCCCAGAATCCTCCAGCCACCAGCTGGAGTCACTTTTGTCAGCTCTCCTACCCAATCTGTTTTGATAAGTCTTTTGCCAGCTAGTTGTGCTCCATGCTTCAAGTGTGCCAAGGTGCCGGGATAGAGGGCTTCCCTATTTAAATATTTCACACCCAGCACTGAACTATCTCAGGCTGCCTTGCCATTGCTTAGAAATGCTTCATCAGCTGTTTCTTCATGTTAAAGGATCAGCAAGTGTCAAAGCAACAGAAAGAAGGGACACTTGAGGCACACTTCAAAGGCTCATTTGGAGAACATGCAAACGTAAAACTACTTGTCATTAGAGGAGATGGCTCCTCTGTTGTTTCTGGGCAGGCCATGTCTGAGGGAAGTTAATTGCTACGTGTCTGCATCACCAGTGCTTGAATTATCCAATGACACCCAACTGAAAGGTGTGGCAAAATTACCCCACCTTCCTCCCAAAGACTGCAATTATACAGGAACCTTTCATTTGTCAGGGCATTCTCATAGCTTCCTTAAGAAACACAACTCAGAAATTAGTAATTTAAAAAGAAAAGGGCTAGGAAAAACTCGGCACTTTCTGGGTCCTCCCTTTGCAAACCTGTAAGCCAGATATGCATATCCCATTTAAAGTTATACAAGCAACGTTTGTGGCAAAAAAAATTATCAACATAATGGTAGCAGGGTGGATTTGATTAAAATTAAATTGGTTTAAATCACAATTTAAGTTTAATTTTTTAAAGCTTAATTAACTTTAAAAAATCAATTTAAAAAATTTAAATCACAATGTAAATCAATTTATTTTTTAAAAATGTTGATTTTATCCAGCCTGAATGGTAAAAGCTTTGTGGAAAAGATATTTTTTATAAAATCTTACACATTTCTGAAAACAGTTCACATCCATGTTTCTCAGCCATAAGCACCCTACTGTGCCCAATTCACCATGAAGCAGTGAAGATTGAGAAGGAAGTGGAATTTAGGCAGCAAAAACATTTTGCACTAGATTTAAATTGCCCGTACTAAGTGAAAAGCCTTGGGCATCCTGTTCAGGGAAATGCACAATTCTAAATGGACAGGTAACACCCTGATGAAACATCTTATCTTTTTGTTTTCTGACTTTGACCCCAAACTGAGGAAACTTCTCTATTACAGAAAGGAACACTGAACTAATTCACACAGCAACTCTCACACAAATAGCCAACAAGAGGCTAGAGGTGAAACTGAGGTCTTTCTGAGTACCACTAAAAAATTGGGGGGGGGAGGGTGGCAGGTGAAGAGAAAAAACATAATTTCTGCCTTAATTGGTCTGTTAATAGTATTTACACTGTTGGAATCATAAAACACAACCCTCAGATTATTCTATAACTCCAGCAGTACCTCTGCAAAATAAAAAAATCCAGAGCCCTGTGACCAAAGATAACTTGGGTCTGATTCATACCCCACATTTATTCTCACCACTGCAAGATCAAAGGCTGGTTTGCATGTGTGAATCATGGCTTCGTGGCTCTAATGTGCCAACAGAATTCTACTACATCAAATGTAATGGTATAATTTGATTGGAATACTATGAGGCAGCAGAATTCTGTGGCGGTGTGTGAGGGCAAAAATGTTGAATGGCACATTCCCACAAGGCTGTAAAACTCACCAGTTCCCTCCCCACCCCCTGTACCCCTTTCTCTATCCTTATTCATTATCAGAGCTGAAGAAATTGTCTCTATTCAACGTAAAGCTTCGCCTGCTTGGTTGTTCCAGATCGAACTGATGTTAGGAGACAGAGCAGCACAGCAAGAATGGCTTTTTCTCTAGTTAGCTGACAACCCTGTTCCCCTTGGAGCACTGGCCCCAAGTAGGCAGCTTTACTGGGGAAGTCCTATTATCTTTCACCTTAACTTGCCTGATAGGTCCTTAAAATAAAACACAATATTCCTCTGTATGCTGCCCTATTCTTGTTACAAAACAGGGTGAGCTATGCAACTGGAAAAACAAACACTTCATACAGGCAGGTCACTGGTGGTGGTGCCACCTTGTGTAAACAAGACTGTATGTGATGCCCTAGCAATGTGTGGCTTGTAGAGTTGCCACACGTGGCAGGGCTTTCTTGGTGGTAGCACCGTGGTTCTAGAACTCCTTTATATTAGAGATTCATTTGTTCTCCTCCCCTTGTCATTGAGACATAATATTTCAGGGAATAAACAAGCATTTGAATTGTCTTCTACTGTTGTTTGTCCATATTGCTTGATGTACTTCAGCAGATATGTGTAATTCATTCACTATTTCATGTACTTGAACCTTGTGATTTTAACTGTGCTTTGATGTTGATGGTTGTCCATTCTGAACTGTTGGAAAGAATGGCGGTATAAATGAATAAATAATTATGCCACCAGCAGCAATAGAGCCTTAGTAACAACATTTTCTTTTTCCTAACTTCATTCTATGCAAGGGGGAGGGGAAATCTTCAGGCGTAGTCACTGGAAGTGTAACTGCCCCCTGAATGTGCAGACACTATTGACTGGTAGGGGCCACGATCCTATTCACCTTGACCTGTAAGGACCAGTGGGACTTACTCTGTGCAAACAACTGGACAACTTCCCCACGGAGGACATTGTTGGTGTGCCTGTTGCCTCTGCTGCTCTTGCCAGGCTTTGCCCTAACACCCGGCCAAGAATTCTGTTTATATCACAGTAGAGGTTGATCTGGCAGCTGACTGGGCATTCCCAAACCAGAAATGGCTACAAAAACATCTTCCAACACCTTACTTGATCTTTGGGGGCCACTCATTGGCCTCACTGAGTGACATCGGGCCTATGACATACCGCTACTCCCCCGTAGCCTCATCTAGCTCACAGGATTGTTCTGAGGTTAAAAATGGGGGAGGTGGGACGGAAACAAGGGTACACATCATCCTGAGTCCCTGTCGTGAGTTCCATGAAGGATAGTCACAATATTAATACATTGCTAAAATAAATAAAGGTTGCACTTCTGTGCTTCGGGTGGAGTTATCCCACACAGCCCCTCCCATTACTGGTTCGACCTGGCTATTAACCCAGAAGGATTTTACTATGGCTCTTCCC